GTCATTTTCTGAGTAAATTAATTTTAAAATGGTGACTGTTTACCTGAAGGTTCCAAAACTTGGAACAACATTAGTCAAAGCAGGAAATTATTTGACTGATGCAGAGCTGGGTGACTGAAGGGTTTACTGGGTTGTAAACACAAGGAAATATTGGGGGGGAAATAATTTGACATATTAATACATTATTTTCAGGAGATTAGTTTAAAAATTAAATTGGTATATATTTTTTGTTGAGCAGGAATGTTTTGTTAAATTTGTGGATACCTAGCATCCTTTTTTCTTTCTTTTTAAACCTTCTTTTTTATATAAGCTAGCTTGTAAAAGGAAGCACTGTTATCAAATGGTTTCATTTTTTCTAAATGTCAATATGAAGAATGTGGCATTTCACAAACTAAGTGCTTTGAAATACTAGTGAGCCTGAGTTTCGGTATTTTAAGATCTTTTCTTTTGAATTCTTTGGCTAAAATTTTTGACTGGACTAAACCCAAATTCATTAACCTTGTCTCTCTGACGTTCTGGTTTTAGTATGTTTTGAAAATAACCTGTCATAGGATAAGAGAGCAGATTAAAAGAAATGAAAGTACTGCTAAGAACACAACAAAGCCCATGAAAGGTGGCAGAAAGGGATCAACAGTCTCACAGTAGTTTTGATGGCTCAGCAAGATGCACATTTTATACCACTGTGGCAGTGATGTGTTGAAATGAAAGCAATTCTTGCTAGATATAGAAAATAAAACCACAGCTTGGGAAGTTCTGCACAAAGAATAAATATTACAAATAATCTCGTGGAAGCTGTGCAGACCTGGAACACAATACACAGATTTTCTGATACATTCAAGTTAACAGGGGGAACATTTAGTGATTTTGACCAATGTTTAGTACAGTAACGCCAAATTTCTGCACTGAGATGGGACACAGGATACTGCTCAGTGTAATCAGAGTCAAAAAATTACTACTTTCTACTCCCCATATGCAATGTTCCTTTACATTCTTCTGGTGCCTTTCATCCTGCCTGGATAATCCTCTCTACAACAAAGAGAGCCACAGAAAAGTTCCCAGTCTACCAAGGTGCTCCATTTTTAGCTGTACCTACTGATATGGCTGTGCTCGAAGCACAAACAACCTGTGAAAGCTGAAACAGGTTTTAGAGTGGTAAAGAATTTGATGAAATTATCTATAATAAAGGAGGAGGCAAAATCAAAGTGAGCCCTTCTGGCAGCAGATGCTATGAATGTAATTTACAGCACCAACCATTATATCTGAAAAGCTCATGTGAAGAGGTTTTCAGAAACACTTGGGTGAGGAGTGCAAATGAGTGGCTGGAGGCAAGAAACAGCTAATGCTTCTCAGTCTGGTTTTATTGTTTGTGTACCTGCTATCTGACCCTGATCTAAATTTGATTCTCTGGCAGCCCTGTTGTCACCATGCACAGGGTTTTAACTGTGATGCTTTTAAAGAAAGAACTGCGTGTCAGTCAAAGAAAGAGGAAAGCTGAAGGTCACTGACCTTTTATCGACAGGGTGGGAGGAGCAGGAGCTGTTCCTCTGTGGTCTCTCGTAGTTACTGTACAAAAAAACAGAGGCATCGTGGTAGTCACCTACCTGCTGCATTTCTGATGTGCATTTCTGGAGTGACTGTTACTGAAAGCAATATGAAGCTTAATGAAACATCACTATTAGCCTGGTTTTATAAAGAGGGTAATTAGGAGAAAGGAAGTGGTTTGCTGCAGGATGTGCCAGTCAGCAGAAGTAGTAGAGGTATTATCCAGAAATCCCACGCTGCAGATTTTCGACTGTGACACCACAGAGCTTCGTAAATGAAAGTCCATCTTCACCTGTAGTCAAGACTGCCAAATTTTTTCAATAAAAGTTTAATCAGACTCTTACCTCTGGCTTTGGGAGTCACCAAGGTCATTTCACTGGGCTCAAAAGAAATCACTGTTGAAGACAGAAAATGTAATCTCAGAAAACAAGTGGCCAGCACAGACTCTTATGAATAGTTGCTGAGAAGAGATTTTTCTGAAAACAGGAAGACCCAGGCATGTCATGGAGTGAGATTTGCCTATTTTTCTCGATGTATTGATTGTTGTAGGCAAAGTGATACTGATAAAATAATCTCATTGCTGCATGCAAATAATGCACTTTACACTAACACAGGATTCTATGTTTCTGTGAAAGAAGGAACATAAATATGACTGATGTGGGAAATTCATTTTGCAAATGGACTAAGCAGGATTAGGTCTGAAATCCCACTCTTGTGCACAGAAAGATGCAATGTTCCTTGTGAACTCCTTGTGTTTGCCTGCACTGAAAGTCAGGTATGGGTGGGCAGCTATAAGGCCATATAACTCCCTAACCTCTAATTTATTTCTTTACCTCATAAAATGAATTTCATTTGTCAGCTACCTTTTGATAAATTAGAAGCATGGCTATCAAATGATCCAAAAAATCATCTCTGCCTCTTTTTGTGGGTTGTTAGGGCTGTGGGATGTGAAGAAGAATGCCTTTGCCTTTGAAGGAGTTTCTGAGTGATACTTAGCTTTGGTTTAATGCAGCTTCCACAGCTGACAAAGCTGAAGGTCCTTTGGGCTTGAATGAGCAGAATTAAATGACATGTGGTTCTCCAAATGTTTCCTTCAAAATCTGACTAGGCATGTTATCTGTGTTACATTTTCAGCTTTCTAAAATTCCTAGTACAGGTTTTTATCCCTTGGTAATATTTTGAGCCCTATGTTGGACTTATGCCTCTTTAGAGAGCACAAGTAATTGTTTTTCAGGAGGTGAAAGATTGCTACAGATGTGCAAATACAGGTGCTCTCCTCCTTCAGGAGTTCTCAGTTTTCTATTACCAAGCTTTCTAGAAGCAGCCAGAAAAACATGGTCCAACACTGGAGCTGTTGCTAGGTGAAAATGAGAAATATCTGGTAAAAAAAAAATACTTTGATAATACAGGAGAGATATGAAGGAACAGCCAGCACTTACACTCAGCCTTTTCAAGTACATACACTTATGCATGTGCTGTTTCTGACTTTAAAAGTCAGAAGTGTTGTTTCTTAAAAAAAAAAAAAAAAAAAAAAAAAAAAAAAAAAAAAGATTCTGAAAGATTCTGCATGGTTTTCATTATTCCAGATTGACACTCAGGTCAATGGCTCACAGAGAGAAACACACTTGAAACACCTTGAAACCAGGTTCTGAAGTTCTAAAAAAATTCGACTTTCCACCTTTTCCCCAAACAACCAAATCTAATGGAAGGTGTCCCTGCCCACAGCAGGGGTGTTGGAACCAAATGATCTTCGAGGTCCCTTCCAACCCAACCCTTTCCAGGATTTTCTGAGTTAAGCAGTGGCTTGGTTGCACCCACCCAGTGCTCGTGGGCTTGGCAGATTCGGAGTCCCTGAACACGGCAGTGGAGCTTTGCTTGTGATGGAGGCTCATAGCAAGAGTTCAGCAGCTAAACTGGGCAATGGCTGGTCCAACACTGGGTCTCCTTCTCTATTTCCTGCCTGTATGACTTGGCCCTCACTTTACCAGGTGTGCCCTCCCAGAGGTACCAATGGCTTTGGGTGACACGGCCTCTCGTGTTGCAGCGCTCTCCATGCAGGCAAGAAAAGAGTAGTTTTCTCATACTGCAGCAATGAGTTTTTGCAAGCACTGACTCCTCAGTAAGACAACTATTGATTGTAGCAGAAAAAAAATGAAGACTGTCACAAGAACCGCTTGGTCTCATGGTTTAGGGACTCACCCAGGAGGCACCAGAGTGAGAAGATTTCAGCCTGGGTCTATGCATTACAAGAAAATAAAGCTCCAAACTGCTGCCTCATTGCCACAAACCATGCTCAGTCTTTCCTCATTCTCCTGCTTGATCTTGTGGAATTAAACCTCTCTCTAAAGACAAGAAATAAGCACCTGACTGTGGGTCCAGAGGCTGGCACCCACACAGCACATCTCTGCCAAACCGCTCACCTGCTCCAGCCTGTGTTCCCAGGGGGAAAAAAAAGGCTGTTTTGATGAAAACAGATTTTGTTGTAGAGTGTTCATTCTCAGCCCTTGGGAAACTTACTGTAAACACTGGGTAAACACATTACATGCACAAATTGAAAAATTGCACCTTCCCAATCAGTCTTGAATTCAATCACCAAAATGTTTTATCTGCTCCTACATCAGTCCTTTTAGAAGGGCAGAAAGAAAACTAACAGCTTGTATTCTTTCAACTTTTGGTAGCTGAAAACAGCTTCTTGCACTCTCAGTTGCAAACCTTCTTCCACAGAGGCAGTCACTGCCCGTGTTCCATCAGTCCCACGATGAAGGAGCTCTGCAAAAAGAAAAGAATTCTTACGCCAGAGACTTGTGACTTAGGATGCTCCTTAGACTGGATCTTGGCACAACATGATCAGAGTCATCAAAAGAGAATTTATTTCTAAATGTTATTACTGCCCTTTTTGTGCAGTTATTTTGTGATATAAATACAGACAATATAAACATAATTACGGTAGCAGTATTAAAATTCTGATTTAGTACTTTTACCATGCTGATACTAAATTCTACTCAGCAACATAGAGTATAATAATAAAAAATAATTTTAAAGAGTTTCAACATTAAAAAAGAGGAATTGGCTAGCAATCACCATTCTTTAAATTCTTGTTTCAGTAGCTTATTTTTTTGAGTATAAATTGGTCTCAATTTAATATGTTCCAGACAAAGAATTACAGAGATGACCTACCCTCTGTATGACGTGTTGTCTGCTCTCTCTTGCTGATTGTTTCTGAAAAAGAGAAAGGTCTGTCATTTAGTGTGCAGAGGGGATTTGTCACTGTTTGATCTGAATAGTCCAAGTCAGGCATTCATTGAATGTATTCCTATTAAAACAAAGTTTAGTCAGACACATGCCCATTTCACTAATTTTTCTCTGTAATAAAGAATCTAACAAAATCCTTTTCCTGTAATTTTATCAGATAGGATTATTTTTTTTCCCCAAAATCTGAACTGAACAGAACAGCTACACAGAAGTATAATAACACTTAGTAAACACTAAATAAAAATGTTTCATTCAAAGGCGCTTTTTTTGTTTTGGTTTGGTTTTGGGGTGGTTTTTTGGGGTTTGTTTGTTTGTTTTGTGGGTTTTTTTGTTTGTTTGTTTGTTTGTTTGGTTTGGTTTAGTTTTTTTGTATTAAGAAATATAGTCGGGGACCTAAAATCAGTGGAGGTATCCAGTGAGCTAAAAATGAATCCATCTTTATCAGCAGTGGTAAAACCAACGTGATTTTCCTGTTAGCACCTAACAATTTCCCCTTTATCTGTAGTGTGTTGGAACTACCATACTGTATATTAGGGCCATCTGATCCTAGTGAAAGATTACTGTCTTAAAAAAAAAACAGCAAACCAACCTTGCTTCCATGCAAACTTGCCTGGGACATTTTCTTCTCCCTTGACCTATTCAGGAGGGGGTACACACATCCAGAGCACGATATAGAGGTATATGCCTGATCTCAGCAATGAGGTCTGTGACTATGAGCCAAAGGATTAGAAAAGCTAACGTTGCCTTTTCACATCTCCCCCAGCCTCCACAGGACAGGTGTTTGGTCTCGTAAGGCTGTAATTTCATCCACAGAGCTGGGATCAGGGTATGACAATGGACATAAACATCCCCTTCATCTTTAGCAGGGATTTTTCCTTCCAAAATGGAAACCAAGTAACTCACCAGACTGTTTTTCGCTTTTCCAGTTAGTTTTTGCATGGTTCAAGGGAAAATTTGGGCTAGCAATACCTTTAGCATTCCTGCTAGTGACCTCATCACAAGTATCACTCATTCCTTCCAGCTGGAAAAAGCCTCACAAGGCTGACAGGACCTTCCTGATGAAAAAGCTTCTTCATACCTAACTGGAATTTTCTGCTGTAGTTGTGTCTCTTGCCTCTTGTCCTCTCCAGGAAGAGTCTGGCTCCATCTTCTCTACACACCCCACTAAGTACTGAGGACAGCAAAAAGATCTCCCCCGAGCCTTCTCCTCTTTCATCATGAGCTTCAGCCCCCTCCCCATCTCAGTAACCTCTCCTGGACCTGCTCCAGGACAGCAATTAGTCTGCTGCCTTCTCCTCTCCTGGTATTCACTGGAGTAGCAGCAAATGGGCAGGACACATGAAACTGAGAACAGGACAGACTGCCAGGATTGTGGCAGGAAAGCACCCAGCTACTGCTTCATTCTCCTTGGGTCAGATTCGATACTGGCAGACAAACTGGCAGGAGGGGGCAGTGGATCAGATCCTTATTACTACCTGTAACTGGAGATGGACAGAAGGAGACATCCAGCCCATTCAGGGAAGAGTTAATATGTGCATTCACAAGGCATTCAATGGCATCTTTGTCACAGGCGCAGAGGAACTGTTCACAGGGATCCCCAGACTCTGGAAATAAAACAAAGGTCCAAACAAGGCACTATTGAAAAACCTTTTCCACCTGCTTTTTCCTGCCTGTAAGGTTTGTGCCTGTATTCATTAGTGCAAACCTATTTATAATGAGCTTCTCCATGCTAAACACAGCCAAGTTTCATAGTCTAACACTGGTTTTGAAACACAAACCAATGAAGTCTGGCATGGCTGGATTATTGCCTCTCTGGTTTGTTTATAAAAATCAGACCTCGATGCCTCAGAATAGAATTGTTTTTCAGGTCTCTACTCAGCATCTGCTGCATTTCTGATGTGTGGAGATGTCTCAAGCAGTGTTTAGTGCTCCTGAAAATCAGGGAAACCTTCAGGGAGAGGCTGCCTGTTACAGGACCCCTGGCAAGCCCTGGTGGTTTCTGCTTAATTTGTCTATGTCTTTTTGGTAGATAGACCAGAACACACTTCTGGTCATGGTGAGGCTCCAGTGTTAGCTCTTGTGACAGGTTAATCTCACCACAGGTCAGGTTTTCAGTAGAGCAGCTGACATCTGTAGAAATCTTTGATGGGTCCCACATGCACTCCATCTCCAGTGCTTCCTCGTAGCATTTGCGGTGCTGGAAGCAGCATCTTAAAAGAATGAAATAATAGAGAGTTCTCACAGCTAAATTTCAGTTCGAGGTCAGACTGTAATGCTGCCACATTGCCCTTACACATCAATGGAAAAGGTGCCAAAGGAGAAAAGGGTGTCCTTGGTGTGATCCCTAGACAAAAGAAAGGCTGAGTACTGCTTTGCCCTGAGTGAGAGTAGTCAGATAAATATATCTGGATGCAGCAGTGAGCTGTGGGAGCAGGTCTGCAAGTCATGGGTGATCACACATTTCTGTCCTGCTGTGGTACCTGAGTACCACAAGTACAAGGACTCTACAAATAGTTTAAATATGAAATCCCCTATCAGTGCCCAAATACTTCCCCCCAACACTGACACCTCACTGACAAACATTGTCCCATGGCTCAACTCCAGAGGTCTTAGATCCAGTCCTGTCACAACCTTTCCCACTGCAAATTCGGAGAACTACACTGGACCTGGCACTCATGGAGGGTTAATGGCTTGGCAATGCCTTTCAGAACCCAGTGTCTTACTGGGACTGCACAAATACAGGTAGTGTCATCCTCTCTTTCTTTTGCTTCTATTCAACAATAAGAATTAAAATGCACCATTTATCCATGGGAAAGGGCCACAAAATAATTGTCTCACACTGGAGTGAAGCAGATTTCTCCTACCACCACACAACACAGGCAGTCAGAAACCTTGTGTTTGCCTACGCAAATGCTGTCCTGCAAACCTCAAATGCCTGCATGGCCACTTTAGCTGTGAATGCCAATGAAAATTCAACTTAAACAACAAGGTCTTCATCAATCCTCTCCTCTCTTCTGCTGTTTGTGCAGATAAATCATCTGTTTTTATATAATAGCAGCATCTATGTACTCTGACATCACCTGTAAATGAAACAACGATAAAAAACTCAAGTCATCATGTACCCCATGTAAAATTTTTACACAGATTAAACAGGGGTTTGCTGTTAGATCTAGACTGAAATATCCTCATTTCAGAGAAATGGACTCAGGACATGGGTCTGTTATTGAATTGCCATTGGCCTGGACCATGCCAACAACCATATCCAGCAGCTGCTGTCAGGAAGGGTGAACTTGTGATCACAAAGTAAGGAGTTACATTTAGTTAAGCTCATGTGGCATTTTTGTTAAAGGCAAAGTGACTGTGTTATTACACATCACCCACAGCCCTGAGGCACCAGTGGACAAAACACTCCTGCAATGATTAGAGCACAGAGTAAACACCTGCCCCTTGCCAGGCTCCCTTCTAGGTTGCAAGTGCGCTTTCTCACTTCCTATATTTGGAAAGCATTTAATAGTTAACCACTTACTGTATTAATAAACCATGATTACAATATTTAATTTGTCCTCACAGCCAGGGGAGTCCAAGTAACGTACCTAACAAATGAAACAGCATTCAGCAGAGAGGCCCTGATGGCTCCTCTGCACCACAGATTCTGCCGTGCCTTGTTTCGGAGATGAGGCTGAAGTCTGTGAGGTCCATCAGCAACAGGGTTTTAATGATCCAGCTGATGACATGTCTCAAAACACTCCTGTCTCTGCCTGAGGTCTAGCGAGGTGTTAGCATCTGAAAGCTCCTGTAGCTGCATAATTAGTCTAATGCAAACTCCCTGCAGTTCTTGTTTGTTTAGAGCATCGCAATTACATCAACACTTACTGCAGCAGTTAATCTGAAAATTTACTTGCTTTGCCTTTGCAAGCAGGAGATTGTAAGGCATGGATTGTCCCTTAGGCATGCTTCTCTTCCAGATGGACTAGGGAGGCAGACTAGGCTCCTAATTTAGATATGACAATTAACTACTTTGGGAAGTGGAAAAAGGTTGGTTTTCTAGGCACTAAGACACTTTCTAATGCCTTAAAAACCCGTAGTGAGGTGTTCAGCCCTTCCCTACGGAACAGAAGGTTTTTAGCAAAACCCAAGGCTTGCTAAACTAGTTTTTAAGAAATAAATTAGTGGAAAAAATTGCAACATGTTGGGAACTGTCTCTGGGACAAACACGTAACAGCCACTGGTTTGGAGGCTCTTTTGAGGCAGGGGCACATCTGTGTCAGTGGCAAAGCAATAATCAGCCCTGTTCACTGCACAGGGCAGTGAGATTTCTGTGCTGCTAAGAAAAACCTCACCCTGGGGCTGGAAACCAATTTGTAAACACAAACTGACTCTGTGGATGTTTCTCAGGACAAACCTGCTGACAGATGGTTCTGTAGTTTCTGGTTTTATGCTACTCTACATTAAAATAAAGCTGAGTGAAGCAAAATCCCAGGTGCTCAGCTCTTTGGGTATCAATCCATTGAACTGACTCGGGCTCTCATTTCACGATGTCATCACAATTGTTCAGAAAACCTTTCATAGAGAAGTTCCATGGCTGTTTTCCAGTAGCAGAGTTAGATCTCCATTTTCCCAGCCACCCCGTGCTGCAAAGTGGACGGATTAATTTCCATCTAGCTATAGGCGTCAGCCCTTTCTGAGCCATTGCTGTCTTCATGTAGGGAATTAATACATTATATTGTTGGAAAAATTTTTTTTTGAAAAGACATGGATGTATCTTGATTCTCCTTGAATTTCCTTTCAAACCCCCTGCTGACATAAGTGAACAATCATCTGATTGTCCTGGCCCAAGATTACATTTTTTCTCACTATCTCAGTCAGGGTCTGGGGCAATATCCCTCCAAAGCACAGAGTGGAATTTGGATGGTCTATTCGTGGTGCATGGTACTGGGAAGAAACATTGAGCTAAATTGCTCTGGCCTTGATGCTCCCATGTCATGTACACAGGCACTCAGGGCAAGATCTACTTGACCTCCTAATGCCACCTAAAGTCATACTTAGCTGTAACCTGATTCTGCTGATGCTTTAATCCCCCTCAGATGCCAACATTTTTATTAGTCCACTATGAACTTAGATTGCTGGTTTATTACACAGCCCCCAGTACCAACAGTTTGGTAAAACTGCAAACCCACCAAACTGCTCAGATTAGAGCTCCCCCACTGTCCTCATCAACAGGGCCTCCAGTTCTTGTCACTGATTTACATGTGCAAGAGAACTCCCCAGAACAGAGGGATGAATGAGGTTTTGCTCCCAAAGGTCTGTTTCCAAGCTGTGCTGTAAGGCAACTGGCAGGGGCTGCTGGTCCAGCAAAGCACACAGTTCTCACCAGCAGGTAGGAATAACACAGGAAGGGCTTATACACCAGACTTGAAGTTATCTTTCATAGATCACATCAGATATTCCAGTGGCAAGTGAGTGATGACTAAATTAAACAGAGCCAAATGGTCTGGGTCTTATTTACCCCCAAATATTTTTTTTTTCCCAACATCTGTCTTTAAATCATTTACACACATGTTATGCTTTGGATAATCAGAGCATGAGGGCATTTAGAGCCAGTCAGAGCAGAAAAGGACATCTCATGGATACGACTTACTCATCAGCTTCATCCACGGGGAGCCCTTCCATCTCAAACCTGCAAGAGCAACCATAGTCTTCAAAATCCCTGGGGCAGAACCCAGTAACACACTTCATCTTGTTCACAAAGCTGAGAAGGGCAGGGAAGTTGGTGAAGATGGACTGTAACCAGGTGAAGTGAGAACCCAGGCAGTCTGGAAAGGGAACAGTCATAAAACACATGGTAAATGGAGGTGAGCCAGGAGTGGGTCATTCGAGTGAACATGGAGCCTGAACAAGGCAGCAACACTGGGACACTGAGCAGTGCTTGGCACTCAGCTGTATTTAGTATTACAGTGTCTTTGGGGAAATCTACAGCTTCAAAACCCCCCTATTTCTTCTCAGTAAACACATAAAAACAAACTCCATGGGATTTTTGTTCAGTGCTGAAGTACAACTGGAACACATACTTACCAAAAAATAATGCAACACTTTCCACATTTTGAAAGACTCCGTTGAAGAGTGTGGCATTGTCTAAATGAAAAACATAAACAAGCAACACTTATTTTTAAAAAGTTAATGACAATAACTGTCCCCGGACTGCCCCTGGTTTTGCCTCAGTTGTTAAACCATTTTGAGATGAGCTCCCAGCTATTTGCTCACAGCCCACTTCCCTGCAATGCTTCTGGAGCAGGAGGGATTCCCCTCTGCCGTGCCAGAATGCAGAAAGTAAAGCTTAAACCATTCTTACTCAAGATTCTCTCAGGCGTGTTAAGAAGCTCTGGCAGGAACGCTGGCGGCTCCAGCTCTTGGCCACCTATCTCAGCAAACAAATTTGAAAAGAAAAAGATTTTAAAACAAAAAAACAACACATTAAACCATCACCATTATGACACACACCCTGCAGGCATTTTGAACACCTTCCTGCACTGACAGGCTGATTTACCAAATCCATGAAGCACAGTGGTAAGTCACATCCACTTCAGCTCAAAAACCAGCCTCTATTACACAGGTATTGCTGTTGAGGTATTTTGTCTTCCTGTGCTCACCTCAACATTAGTCCTTACTGGGATAAATCAGGAGAATTATTTAAATCTGTTTTAATGCCCAACTATGCCCCAAATATTTCTACTCTATAACCCTATGCTCTTGTTTGAAGCAAGGTTATTTGAAGACAAGTGGTTTGGTTTCCCTGAGCCTTTTTTGGCTATTACCTTATTGCCTCTCTTCCTATCACTATTTATTTATTTATAGTTAATTATCTCTTTTTCTTTTTGAAGATGCTGTGGTATATTTGGTATATTTTCAACACTTTCATGTTTTTTCTGTTTGCCAAGTCCTGAACTGGAGTGAAATCTAATACTTATCTCCCTTCCCATTTTTTAACCTGTTGTTTTCCTCTTCATGACTATAGAAGACAACGTGTTACTTTGGATTTATTTAAACTTGCTTATTTTTTAAAAAAACTTAGTAAGTCATTTACTTTCACAAGAATCTAAAAACTGAAAGCTGAAAAAAACCCATAATGTTCAAATTATGACATATCTTGTGTTACAGAATAACTGGCATTAGGAAAGTTGTCCTTCTTCTCTTCAAAAGATCCTGGTAAAGAGCTGACAGCTCTCTTGCTCATCTGTTACATTTTTCTGCAATAAATACAGGTGCAAGAGAGTAAAGCAGAGTAGCGGCTTTTTAGGTGTGAAGCTTTAACTCCATGTTTAGCAAAGGATTAGGAAAAATAAATTTGTTTTTTTAAATCATATCTAAGGACTTTCTCAGGATGCCCACAACTTTTGTGGCATGAACAAGATGTTCATGGTAACAGTCCAGCAATTCCTTTCTCAAATTCAGTTGTGAAATATGGATAGGGGATTGGGTGAGGCAGGGAGAGGTCCTTCCTCTTGTGTTCTTTTCCTGAAAGTCTTAGTCAGAAGAAACTTTTAGATAAACAGAAATTCATCAGAAATGTCCTTCATTTCAGCAGGTCCAAGGGGAAAAAATTGCTTTCCACAAACCAGAAAAGGTCTCCTGATAAAGGCAGTGCTTTTCACAGAACTGAAACACCTCTGCTGAAAGCCTGATCCCCATGAGGAATTCAGATTCAACAAAATAATGGCATGACTTGCAAAAACAACATCGAATGCTATATTTGTATACATGCTTGCTAGAGAAAAACTGACCCTTATTTCGAGGCTTAAAGCCTGTATTTCCTCTGCAATAACAAATATCCTTCCCCTGAGCTGTGTTCTACCAAGGGCATCTAGAGCCAGGTTTGCCACACTGCATAACACCGTGGCTCAAACTCAGTGTCTGTTGATGAATAGCCACTGATCATTTAGCCCTTTCAGCAAAATTTTGAAAAACAGGAAAATCCCATTGATTTGAAATGCATCAGAGGAGAAAATTGATGGAGCCATATTTCAGGGCTGTTGGAAGCTGTGATTGCTCCAGTATCCTTCACTTGCACTTAATTCTCCTCAGCAAACTGAGTTGTACACACAATTAACATATAAATGTTTGGAGTTCTCCCTGCAGAAGAATCTCTGCCACGGGGTCAGCAGTGTGGTAAAACGTTGGCTGTTCTAATCCTCTCATTACAAAGAACAATATTCCCAATTGTCGCTAAGTCAAGATCAATGAACCGATGTTTGCTAACAAGATTGCTTACTTTTGTTTAAATTACGGGGGGAGGAACAAAGAGAAACCACCTTCTGGATTAATTACTCTCTTTTCTTCTTTTGGTATCATGAATTTGGAGCTACTGGTCCTGTGTCATTCCCTGTGCAACCAGTGAAAGATTCCACTACAAAACTCAATCCTCTAAATCTCAGTAGGCCCTGAGGATGACAACTTGTCTCGCCTTTCTCAAAAATCTGCTAAAAAACTTGGCACATATTTCCCTTTGTATATGGTATCCATGGAATTTCTTTCAGCATTCAGCTACATGTGAAATGGTTTCTGGACTGCACCTGTGACTTTCCAAGTGACAAGAGTTTTCTGAAGTGTTGCCTGAAAAAAAGCTCATCAAAAAACCATCAGTGCACCTCCAGTTGTTTTTTTTTGGAATTGTGGCTCATTAAAATGTCAAAATACAGGGCACAGGTACAGTCATTATAATCCCTGGGGAGAAGAAATATCAGTTGTGCCAGGAAAAGTCAGGGTGCATCAAACCCAACCTATTTGATTTTTTCAAGGTAAATCACATTACCTCCTCTCAAAGATGCAACTTCATGTACAGATATTTGCTTCATTCTCAAAGCAGACATCAGCAGCATAGATCCCATGCAAACATAAATCAATTAGCCTCTCCAAATTTAAACATAGTAACATTTTAAACCTTTGTGCTCAGAATGTACTTAGCCGGGCGAAAAGAATCCAAACACTGTTGCACAGCCTTTTGAGCTTTTTGGAGTCTCTCAAATGTTATGTGAGAAAAATTTATGAGTGACCAGACTTTTTTGAGTGCACTACCAATATAAAAACCAATTTAATAAAATTTTAAAATTTTATTAGAAGTTCTATAAAAAAATTAAAATATTTTTAAAAATCAATAAATGGTGCAGGTATTTCAGCATTCTCTGTCACTGCAGTGGGAAATGTGAATATTATCACTGATTTCTCTCCATATAGGGGAGACTTAAAGTTCAGCTTCATCAATACATTTTAGCCTGTGTGGGGTTTTTTTGTGTTAGATCTGGACCAGAAATGGTGTTAGACCTTCTAAGAGCCCCTCTCTTCACTTGCATATCACAACTCTTACTGAAATTCCTACACAGTGAAGGAACTGCAGAAATTCGAGATGTTTGACCATCCCCGGCTCTGGGAAGTTCATTCAATTATAACAATAAAATCTAAAGAGTTGTATGAAGAAAAAAATCCTATTCCCAGTAAAATTTGAACAAGGAGCTTTAACTGAACACGGGTTATATTTCAGGATGCACTGAGTAGTTTGGAGAATTAGGACAACACACATGTACTTAATGAGCAGAATCTTTTTATATGTAACAGGCAATTTTTGGAGTATAAAAGATTTAAATAGACCAAGTGCTAGCAAAGGGAAGTTGCAATTTTTTGTTATATTTTTAGCCCCACTGAATATTTCTTGCTTCACTAGAAGTCCTGCGAAAAAATTATTTATAAGTACTTCATAAATAAACCTTTTAAGTGCATTTGGATGTTGGACAATAGGGTTTGAGGGGAGAGAAGGTGTGTTTCTGAAGGATTGTTTCCAAATACTCATACTTAAAATAGAATTTTGACACAAATAATCATAAAAATACATTGCCACTTACCATTGTACACGACCATGGACATAGACATCAGCAGAATTACAATCATTTTTTGTTTAATCCAAAGACAAGAAAAAAAGCCACACAGCAGACTGGTGTGCCTGGTGAGTTAAGCAAAATATGAGGCAGAATGTTATCTCTTGACTCTGAAAGTGGGAAGACATAAGCGTAGGAAATCATTCTTTTGTAGCCTGGATACATTTCTGCTTGACACAATTCATTTTTTACCCTTATCCTAACAAATGCACATATTACAGAAATGATGATGTTTATGTATCCTTCAAATTTTACCAAAGTCATCTTTAAATCTCTATAAATCTGACTAAAAATACCTATTTTGGTGTTGCTTTAAGTGAGTCAATAGACTCTGTGATAGTAACATTTAGCAATAAAATGATGCAATTGAAGATTATTTTGGTCTGCAGTTTTCACATATTCCTTGATCTAACAGGATATTCAAACAATTCTTTGTATGTTTAAATGCAGATAACATGAAGAACTGTGTAAATGAAAAGAAATCCTGGGATTACTTCTATTAACCCCAGTTAATCTTCAATTCATTATATTAGTTTGTTTCATATCACAAAAATCTCACTTTGTAGTCAAATATTTATTCTAATCTGTGTTGAGACTGATCTAATGTATCATAAATTTGCCTTATGACAGACATGATGTTTGGAGATCTTCAAGTTCTGGCTGTGCTTGAACTTACAGAAATGTGTAAAGAATTCTGAAGCTGAAAGTGTTGCACTGATATTAATTAAATGGAAGATAATAGATTGTTTTTTAACTACAGTCACAGGTTACTCTAAATTTGGAATGATTTTCCAAGTAAGTCAGGCATGAAGCTTTTTACAGACAAATAAATGAATATTTATATATCAGTTTTCAAATATGTACCTCCTGATGATTATTTGCTTTTCTAAGTTCAAATATTGCATTCATTCCTGTTATAAAATCTTGTAATATTTCATCAGGAAGTGAGGTTATAAATCTAACAGTTTTGAATATTTATAGTCTACTATCCCAAATTTCTTACCTACTCTTTAGTCTACAATTCCACAGTCCCAAATAGCTTATTCTACATCATTTTCCTCCTGATTCCTGTATTATAGAGTACAATAAGAAAGGCTTACCTTGAGGGATATTATTTGAAAGCAGTTGGATGGAAGACAAATGGATTTCAACAAAGTCAGTACTAAGTTATTTATACCCACCTGTATATAGACCTCACCCATGTGATCACTTCCTTTATCAAACCCACTTCAACATTTATTAATTAATTCTTCCACAAAATTCCTTAGAGTCATTATGCCCAGAGTGTATTTAGTAATATGGCTCCAGCCACGTAAAGGATCTATACTAAGAAATCTGTTCTGCAGGTGCATTCACTGTATCATAACTTTCCCTAATACTCTTGGCTGTAATTAAATAACAATCATCCCTTTGTTATTAATCACTCACCAGATCTCTTGGGCATGTGAATATGGCTTTAATAGCTTAGCAAGAGGTAGAGTTCAGTGATGAAAGATGAGTGAGAATTTACACAGCTTTAAACACTGGCATTCCTCAGGGCTGGGAAGTCAGCTCTTGTCTGTCCACGGAGTCTCTGATCCAAGGCTGAGAGAAATCCAGGGAAAGGTTGAGTCAGTGAGCTTTGGGAAGGCTTCTCCTCATTGGGAAGGTGTGCTTCCTGCCAGGGCCAGACACGGCTACCCTGCAAAGAGTCCATCAACAAAAGCAAACTGTCAAGTGAATTTTGTCATGGAGAAGTCTGACAAATTTTTGAAATTGTGAAAATACTCACCTGAACAAAAGGCTTGGCTCCTTCTGAGTCTGTGAACTACATGGTGTTCAGAAAGGCCTTTGACACGGTGGGCTCGTAAGGTCCTCACAGAGAAGCTGTTGATATCTGTGCTGGATGTGGCCGGTGAAGTGGGTTGAACACCAACTGATTGGTGGGGCCCAGAGGGTGGTGATCAGTGGCACAAAGTCAATTTGGAGGTCAGTGACCAGTGGTGCGTGCCAGTGGTCAGTGCTGGGTCCAGTCTTGCTTAGCATCTTCATCAATGGTCTGGATGATGGGGCAGGGTGTGCCCTCAGCAGGCTGGCAAATGACACTGAACCGAGAGGAGTGACTGATATTTCAAAGGGTCATGCTGCCATCCAGAGGGACCTCAACAGCCTGAAGAAATGGGCCAACAGGACATACAGGAAGTTCAACAAAGTGCAAAGTCCTGCACCTGGGGAGGTGCAACCTCATACACAAATATGTGCTGAGGGCCACTCAGATGGAAAGCAGCTCAGTAGAAAAGGACCTGGGGTCCCGCTGGGCTGAACTTGAGCAAGCAGTGTGCCCTTGCAGCAGAGAAGGCTGAGGATGTCCTCGGCTGCATTTGGCAAAGTATTGCTCACAGATCAAAGGAGTGGGTCCCACCCCTCTACTCAGCACTGGTGAGGCCACACCTCTGTCCAGTTCTGGGCTCCTCAGTATAAGACAGACATGGACAAACTTGAGACAGTGCCACAGAGGGGATGGGCTAGACCATCTCTCATGAGGAGAGGACGAGAGAGCTGGGACTCTTCATTAGGGAAGTCTCAGTGGGACTTCATCAATGCCCATGAACACCTGAGGGGAGGGTGCAAATAGCCCAGAGCCAATCTCTGACAGGAGCCTCTCATGACAAGAGGCAATGGGCACACACTGAGAGAGCTGCTGCAGAGCGAGATCTCCCACAGCATCACAATACCACGGCCATGTTAACATTCCCAACATATCGACGTTCCTACTTATTCCATTAGCCTAACTTTCAGTATTGGTACTACTCCAATCTATCCTGCTCTTTGACATGACAGAAATGCTTCTGTCATGGGCACAAGGGTGAAATGTATTTGGAAAGAGGGCTGCTGTATCCCACTCCTCCCTGGGGTCAGCATTCCTTACAGTGCCACATTTCTCCTTGGCTTTATCTTACTTTGAACACGTATTTTTCTTCAGTGAAACATCAATGCGCACCAGATGTGGTGCAAATAAACTTCTTTTTTTAAAGAATATTAATGGCTTGATGATACTCTTTTGTGGAGACAGCAGCATGATCTTGATGCAGGGTAGCAAAATATGGGCTCATGCAATTGAATTGGTTATTGTTTCATTTTCAGAACTGGCTTTTAGTTCACCAGATTTGCATATAAAGAAGGGCATGAAGTGTTCAAGACCAGGTTGGATGGTCTGAGCGACCTGACCCCTGGGTGGGATCCCCACCCATGGAAGGGGGATTGAAAGTAAATGATCTTTAAGGTCTCTTCCAACCCAAACAATTCCATGATTCTGTGTTTCTATGAATCCTGGTGAGCTCACAAAAATATATCTTAGAGTGAAAGTACAAGAGGACCGAACACTTCCTGGGTTGACCTCTGCAATCCAGGTGTTGCTGAGTAATGGGAAACTCTTGATTTAGAAGATAATCTGTGTTTAACACTAGGGAAAGTCTTTCTTGTCTTATTTCAGGTTGCTTTTAAATTATTTTGTGCTTGTTCATTTTGATCACTATGTCTTAATTGTAAACAAAACTAGTATAAACTATTTTCATTCACTGGTCAACCATATAAATATCCTTTAAAAAATAAGATTTTTAAAAGCCTTTCAATTATTTTATTGCAGTTATATCACTTGTATAAAATATATCTGTTTGTACACATTATTTTTACAATGCCTTGGAGGAAGAGAGGTTTCTAGGTTAACATCTGGTTAATAGCTTTTCTTATTACAAATATTTGCAAAAAACATGTTGCATTCTGATGTTTACACTGAGAAATCATAAAAGACAACTAAAATCGCCACAGTCTTCCAACTTGCAGTGACATTTCTCAATGCTCTAAACTGACGCACAGATGTTTTTGAGGCATTTTTGCTTTAATGCTGGAAGAACACAAGAAAATGTTCATTAGAAGAGGATTTATGAGGATATACTAAAAAGATACGTGAAGGTCAAACAATCCTTTTTTTTTAAAGCCCTTAAAAATCATTATCAGATAAAACAGCTATTTGATAAAAGATAGCAAACAGTCTGTAGATATGTACAATTGTATGTTATATTTACACAATAAGGTATGTAGAGATATAGATATATAAAGAGAAAGTGTACTTACTGTGGGAGTAAGTAACTCTTTTGACTCTTTCACAGACATAACTTGCATTTTTCACAAACCAGGAATAGTATTCAACACAGTACCTGAAGAGATAGTTAAAGTTAGGAGAGTAGTAGCTTATCTTTCATTAAGGACTTTTCACAAGCTCATGTGGTGATAGGACAAGAGGGAATGGCCCCAAACTGAAGGAGAGCAGGTTTAGATTAGACATTGGGAAGAAATTCTTTACAAAAGTGTGGTGAGGCACTGGCACAGGTTGCCCAGAGAAGCTGTGGATGCCCCATCCCTATAAGTGTTCAAGGCCAGGCTGGATGAGGCTTTGAGCAACCTGGTCTATTGGAACTTGTTCCCTACTTATATCAGGGGGATTGGAACTGGATGATCTTTAAGGTCCCTTCCAAACCAAACCACCACATGATTCTGTAAGCACAGCATACCATGCTGGTACTATTGAATATGGACATAAAAAGCCAGAGTCCAACCACAATGATGTCATTAGATATTTGGAAAAATGAAGCTGGGCTTTATTCAGTTAGTCTGAATACAGGAACCCAGATCAGGTACTGATCAGTGCCCTGGGACCCATCTGGGTCTCAGCCAGTAGCCACAGACTCTCAAAAACAAGCATGAGTGATTGAAAATTGCCATTTGGGAAAAAACCTGATGGAGTATTTAAAGCAGAGAGGGAAGGAGAAACTAGTTCCAGGTTTACCTCATGGCTTCCTTTCTGGAGTGTCTTCTCTGACCGACACAGAGGCACAGCTGAAAGAACCTACAGAGCTCCATCACACAGGGGTTGATCCTCTGCACTACAAGAGTGACAGGAGGGGAGGTCACATGGGACTCTCTGAGGATTGCCTGTGGGCACCCTGGGGAAAAAAACACAGCTCTGAACTAGTCCAAATACTCATCCCACTAAACTTCTTGAAACACCTTATGTGGGCTATGAGCTCCAGAACAACGTCTTGTCTACTCCAGCACTCTGAAAAATAAGGGACATCCCTGCAAACACCACTCTGGGGCTCTGAAAAGATAACCAGGGCCCAGGCTGTGAGAAGGCACATTTTGCATGATAAGGGTGCCCCCTTCACGTGCACCCATTGGGGTGGAAGAGCTGAACAAGCACTGCAAAAGTGGCCGCCATGTGATTGTCAACTATTTTTTCCGTTTGTGTAACCAGCAGCAGGCTTTGGCCATGTGTGGATAAACTGACTTACCTGCTGAGTATAATCCCCTTAGTGTAATTGCATTTCCAGGTTCACATGTCTCCCACACTTTATAGCTTTGGGCCATCTTATGTTATGTGATAGCAGAGGTTACAGGGGTTAAATTTGGACTAATGAAGTTCTGTTGAAATAAGCTTGAGTCATCTCCTGCTGACAAGAAGTTTAATATAAAATGGCATTCTTGGGCAGGAGGAAAATAAAGGCTCTGCCAACCTGAAAGAGATTGCTACAGAACTATTTCTCTTCTGGCAGTGCTTGCCCAAGGAAGGAGGAGTCATGGAGGATTAAAGGGCAGACACTGACAGCTCCCAGACTCAATGGCCCACCTGAAAACCAGTTGTGTGTCAAAGGCACTACACAAATATCAGGTGTAATTAGCCAAGGAGCCCCACTTCTCTTAACCTCAGCTACTTTGCATAAATGCAATTAGGCTTTGTCCACTTAACAGCATTTAACACAGCTTGATATTTTTCCACTCAATATCAATTAAAAATTAATGATTTCTTGCTTTAGTAAATACACTTAATGTTAATAACTAGATATCAAACCATGAAGCAGTGAGGTTTCAATGTAAGTTGCCCCTGAAAAGTAATGTTACAGTTGATGTGAATGATCCAAACTTCCTAAAGGCTACTGTCCTGTGAATCTCAGCCTCTGCCAGTGTGGGGACTCTATCCTGCCAAACAGGTGTTAAATGTTTTACTCAAACTATCTACTTTTCCAGCAGAAATTCAGCTTTATCTAACTGTACATTGAAAGATGGCAATTTCAATTTGGAGTCATCTGTGTGGGAAAGATAAAAAAGCTAAAAGCTAAGGAAATTGCTCTGGTTTTCATTTTTGACATCTTAATTTTAAGATGTTTTAACACTACATCTGCATACTACTGTATTCATTTAATGCTGAAATTCTTTTTCAATTCATGTTGCATTTAATTTCTTTTGGAATGCATAGTATACTCACATCATATAACTAAAATTAAAATTTTCAGTGATCCATAGTCATGTTTTATATTTTTTTGTGTAATACATCTCTACTGTGAAATGGTTTTTTTGTATTCCATTCATAAGCTCATACAGATTTGGATTGAAATAAAAAAAAAAAAATAAAAGTAGGAATTATTTCAGAACTTTCTTTTCTTAGAGTAGTCTTTCCTAAGAAATTGATTCAGTCAAAAGAGATCAGAAAAGGCAGGGAGGACAGCTCGCTGTGCAGAGCTTTGCTCCTGCATATTTGAAGTCACCACATTACTGTCACAGGCAGGGAAATGACCAACTCTTGAAGTAAATAGACAGTTCCTTTATTAACTCAATATTACATCCCTCTGACACTGAGATTAAATTTTGCTGCCAGTGAAGAGCAACATCATGGTTACTGGAAATGATTCAGACTTAAAATATCCCTCCCTGCGTGCTCAAATATGCACATTTGCATATTTTACAAGTTGGCACCCACTTTCATGATTCAAGAAACAAATTACTGGAATAATGTCTCAGCGCCCAGACCAATGTGAATGCCCTTCCTTGCTTTGTGATCCCACTGTTCAGTTCGTTTCCCCAAATTCATGATTGCCAGATGCAAGCAGACTGCCTCTGCTACCGTGATTCTGATAGAAGGGCAACTGGTGACTCTCCATGCACTGATCTCATTGAAATCCACATCTCCCAGCCTTCCCAAAATGGGCTGTTCCCAGTCCTAGGTTCTCCAGGGTCTGTAGAGTTTCCCATCTGACAGCAACAGGCACATGAGCAAACTCTGGACACCACAAGTCCAGTCACACACTCCAGAACTTTTAACTGGTTCTCTGCTCAACTCAAATTCACCCAAAGCAAACAAGGCATACAGATAACTTTTGTCTTTTACAGAATCTTTGATGGATGAGAATTGTTATAATATATTCTTCTGCTCCCAGTAAGTTTAAGAAGACCCAGTTCTTTTTAAATTCTTCTCTTCAAACCATCAAGAGTGTCAAGAAGTCAAACTATATTCACATGTTATGGCATTGACTCATTTCCTTCACGCAACCAATGTACGTCATGCGGGGTAAGAGGATACTCTGGTATTTGGAGGTCTTTAAATGAGAGAAAGATCATCTGTTTTCAGAATTCAGAAGAATTATCAGAGTTAAAAAGATGACCACGAAATCTGAAATTATTTGGCTTCCTATCTCCATGGTTTGAAGAGTCTTTTACATTAAGAACTGCTCCTTGGCTCAGCACCAATGAGTCTTTTCCTTGGAAATGAGTCTCAGTTGTTGGTTTTTTTACTGCAGTGTTCTCAGGCCTCCTGGGCAATAGTTTCCTCCCCCTCTGACACTGCCTGTCTGCAGCAGTTGTATTTGTATGATCACTGGATCATATTGTCAAACTTCGGGTTTTATGGTCATCTTCTTAACTTGAAAATGCTACTTAATTCTAAAAACAGATGACCCACTGAGAAATATGTCCTTACATACTTTCTTTTCTAATAGTAAGGGGGGAAAAAAAAAAAAAAAGGAAGGCAAGCAACCTTCCTTGTTGTATCCTATATGTTGATAGTTCAGACAACCAGAATGGGACTGGAAACTATGAAAAACCTGATTTATATCAGCAAAAGCTAAAACAAGTAACAGCACAGGATCCTGGTCTTGGATTGCTGCAATAGGCAAAACCAGCAAAAGCAATGGAAGAAGCAAATGACACCAAAACTGTAAGATACTATTACTAACAGTGCAATTATTCCCAGTGACAGAAAAACTAAAGAACCTTTGAAAGAATTTGTGAAAGAACCTTTCTCTCTGAGTCACATATGTTTACCCCAAAAAAGACACCTTTACAGATAAGTAAAGCTATGTTTGAATTCATCAATAAACCAGCAGAAGTCAATAATTGAAATATGATTAGAAATTTTGAGATTAGCAGGGAATCCAGATCCAAGCTTGCATTTCAAGCATCCAAATAATCCCAAAATGAAGATCCAAAGGTTGCCTACATGGAGCCAGGGAGCTGGTGGCACCCCTGGCACCTCCTCTGCTCCGCTAGTAGAGGAGGACCACAAGGTTGTGGTTTCCCTTCATGCGCAAACCTGATTGGTAATGTTCAGTTTTCACCTCACCTCCCCTGTTTTGACAGGCAGCAATCTTCTCTCACTCAGATTTATTAGGAAACCACATCAAAGACCCACAATTTCGTTTGACAATAACAGAATAGTGCAGTTTATTTTTCCATGTTTCCTGTTAATCCATCACAAACCACATAAACAGTATTTCTTTTTGCTCTCCTCACCCACCATCCTTCAGAGTCTTTATGCAAGTATTTATTTGCTCATTCATATTATCAATTCTTCTTGGTTTTATTTCCTGGGTGTTCAAAAAGACCTTTGAAAAATATGTTTTGCCTGGTATTTTAGTTCTTTAGACTCCTCTGATTTTATCTGTAATAGCAGGTCCAAAGGATACTGAAGACCCCTGCAATTTCATCCAGCATATTCTTTGCCCTACACAGCATCATTTTCTGAAATAGTCACCTCACAGAAACACAAACGAGAGACAGATTTCCAAAATTGCCTCCACCAGTCCTTACCACCCAGCCAGGCTCATGTTCTCACTTATTTGAGGTAGTAGGAGAGTCAACATCAGTGGGGAGGGACCAAGAACAGCCTCTTCCCTGAGCATCCCATGGGCTCAGAGCTCCATCACAACTCTAAGCAGCCAAACTGGAAAGACATAGTCCTAATGAAGGGAAAATTTGGAACTGAGTCACCTGCTTTTTTTTTGAAAAGTGGGGACCATTTTTTCTTTTCTAGTCTCAAACTGAGCACAGGCACTGCCCCAGCATTTTGGACTGTAAGAGCTTTCTCATCAACCAGACACACAAACATGCTCAGCATCAAAAGTAGCTGCTGGACTCTCCCAGAATTCAGACTGTCCTCCTGGCATTGAATCAGGTCCAGTTTTTCAAAGTATGGAATTTCTTACAAAATACTTCTCTGTAAATATAGTTTTATTGTCACCATAGGTATAAGACACCTATAAATGGAGTGGCTTATCATCTTACTCTACCTCCTAATTTCTAACCTTAAATGGAGTGGCTCATCACCTTACTCTAGCTTTTAATTTCTAACCTTTTTTTTAGGTGCTTAAAAAAAAGAACTGAGCTTTCATGAAAATCTAGTTGATGATGATCCTTCCTTATCCAAGGAAATAGTTTGCAGCATTGGAAATTCAGAACAATCCTGGAGATTTCACATAGCATGAGCTGGCTTCATCTTTTTATTTGTATAAATAAGGAGACTTAAAGCATGATATTTTCTTTCAGAAGGAATTTTAAGATTCTCCAATACTTAATCGATGCTGAAATTGGCACACACAGTACATATGTTAAATCTATCACCACAGTATAATCTATGTTTTGAGTGTGCAATTCTGTATGAAACAATTATGGAAGCAGTCCATAATTGGACATCTTGGGTGGTTAACATACATAAACTGTCATAAGCAAATTAAACATGTATGTTGTGTCTGCATGGAAAAATTTGCATCTTGCTTTACTTTCAAACATACTACTATTTTTGCTGCATAAGGTGCATCTACTTACTGGTAGCTGAGTAAAGTTTCAGTGTCACACCAGGTCTGTAGGAGGGTGGCATAGGCAGTACTGAGGAAGGCAAATCTGAGGGAAGGAAAAGAATAGAGCTTGCTTTGACACCATAAAAAAAAAAAAAAAAAAGGAAGGTTGATTGAAGGAGTAACAGAAAAGAAAAAAAAAACCAAACATTGAAGTCACAGTTCATTAATAAACACTTAGCTAGACATTGGTACATAAATACATTATCAGTCACTTACTCCTATATATTCGTTTCTATTTAATAAATGTGCCAACTGACACACTGTTGCCATCCCAGACCAGTCTTACCTGGCTCTGTTTGCATCCTTTTGCTGGTTTCTTGTGGAGACACTGTCTGCATCCAAAACATGGGCACGTCAGCTACGGGAACAGAGGGACACACACTCCCTGTCACTCACAGTTGTTATTTATCTGTCTACTGAGAAGAATTGCTATGTATGAGACAGCTCAACAGCCAGAGTCCCTCACCCAGTGCTGCCAGTGGCATATAAAAATGTCAAGGTGAAATAGGAAGCACAGAAGCTGTAGCTGACTAGAGCTTGAAAAGCCTGTGGGCTAGGGAAGGGCAGGATTTAAAGAAGGTATGTTCAGAGGAGACCAAGAGAAGAAGCTCTGTATTGCTTTCACACAGGTCTGCTCACCAAATTTGGAGCAAAATGTGAGGGAAGACGCCAGTGGCAGAAGCATCTATGAGGAGCAAGACTGAGTTTTTTTCCCTACAGGATAAGAAACTACACACGGGTTGCCTGTAGCTGATTCTAGCACTTCTGCAATAAAGTAATCAACTCACTAGTGACCCAGAGTGGGGCTCCCGGAAGGGCCTCCCAACCTCCACCTCAGAGACATTTGGCCAAACCCCACAGCCAGTGGGGTGAAGCAGGTTCCAGCCCTCCTGCCTGTACTCACTGGGTCTGGGCTGTGGGGCTGGGGATGGGACTGAGCTCCTCCCAGGAGTAGGAGGAGATCCAGCCATGCCTTGTGACCTGGAAGCTTCCGCAGGGGCTGATGGAAACCACGATCCTTTTGCTCCAACCGTCTTTGGCCATGGTGGGAACCTCATGGTGGGCATTTCCTCCCCTTTCTGGGCAAGAGGGATCCTGGTGGCTGGAGAAGCAAGAGAGACAGAGGGAGGGCACCAGCACACTGGGAATGCTGGTGCCCCAAGGCAGCAGAGAGTGCAATACACTAGGGGAAAATAATATCTAAAATACACCCAGAAATTCCCAATACTCCTTGAGTGCTTCTCTGGCAGGTGAGTGACCATGCTTCCGTTTCATTTTAAGTATGAAAACATAGGGAGTGCCAATAATGTTTGAAATTTTAACTGAGAACATTTTAATGTGCAAATTCTCATTAAAAAAACAAAACAAAACAAAACAAAAACAAACACAAACAAACAAACAAACAAACAAAAACCCCCGAAATGCTACTGCAAAGTGTTTTGTTTCTTTTCTTCACATAATTTATTTTTTTTGTTTCCTAAGCTGCTTCACTAGAGAGGAAAGAGATAAAAGGTCTCTGTGTGAATGGGAGCAGGCAGGTACTGGAGGGCAAATATTGCCATTTGAGAACTTAAATGACACTCATGGCTAGCAGAGATGATAAAGGTTGGCCTGTGGTTAAGGAAATTAAAAAAGTTCATAAAAAGACATCAGACTGACTATGGGAAATCTGGAAATTTTGTAGCAGAGAGATGCAGCTGCAGTGACAAGGAGGCATGAAATCAAGGTCTGAATTTCTATTGATTTCTACTATGTGTGACCAAGAGCAAAGCTTTGCTTTGTGGCTTCCAAAATGTGGCACACCAGCACTTTGCTATCTTGAAGCCCTGTGGCAAAGTTAAATCTACTGAAGTTATTAAATGCTCAGGTTAAAACAACTGACTGTCATATAAAGAGGAAGATAGAGACAAATGCAGAGAAAAATTGCAATAAAAAAGGAGAGGAAAAGATATAAACAGTCTTGGTTTTTGGTTTGAAGCCAACAACAAGTTTTTCTTCTCTGTCCCTTTATAAAACATATTTTTCCAATAAAATTACTTTTTACAATAGTTTTTCTATCCTCCAGCTATTCCATGCATTATTGACCTCACCTTCTATTGTTTCAGACAAACTTTTATGTTGCTTTGTAACTGTAGGTAACATCACAGGGCTGTGCAGCAAACATACGTGATCACTTGCCAAGACATTAATCAAGGATGGCACAAATTTAGTTCTGACAATATGTGCTCACTTTTAAATGTCCACACGTGTTCTGCTGATGGATCCAGGGTCTTGTTTGGCTCTTCCTGCAATTTCACGAAACTTGAGAAAATCGATTCTAGGTCTTTGAGGTATGAGAAGACAGGGTTAGAGCACTCACCATCCATCATAAAGGAAAGAAAGCACTATCTGGTATCGTAGAAATAGCTGTTTTCTTTTTTAATTAAAGGTTTGGATTTGTTTTCTGGTTTGTTGTTTTTTTTTTTTTTTTTTTTTGCAAAGTGCCTGGTTTTTTTGTTTTTAACAGGAGAGAGGGATCCTACAGCTTTCAGCACACGTAACTCTCCGCTGATTTCACTGTGTATCTGCCTGCTTCGATCGAGCCTTGAAAATGAGTCATTTGCAGCAGAGAGAGGTGAGCATCTGAAGTGCAGCTCACCCTGGCAAAGCAGCTTTGGGTGGAGGAGCCACGCAGCACACTGACCACGTTCCACCCCTTTCTGAAGGCAACTCAGATGGGAAGTCATTTGTGCTGAAAGCTAAGGAAGATCTGAGCACTAGGGACCCTACCCAGCCCAGTGCTGAATTCTGTAAAAGCTCTCATCCCAGCATGTTTCTTTGTTCCTCCGCTAGAAGACCTTGTAACAAATAATTTAGAAGTTTGTAAAATTTACTTATGATATGATTATTATAATAAACATACAATAATATAAAATATAATTTTATATTAATTATAGTAAAATACATAGTAATGTGTAAATATATAAGCAAAAATAAAAATAAAATAACATTTAAAGTATTTTTACACTATGAAGATGGAGTAGTCATTGCAAATGCTACATGGATGTGGTTTTCACTATTGTTGTTGTTTCCTTTTATGCCCCAGGATGTACTTACCCAGGTCAGATGATGTGTTACTGGAAAATGTGTAATTAATAACAGGAGACTTCTCTAATATTTCCCAAAAGTCAGACAGATTTTTCCCTGCAAATAGAAACGCTTACAAACATCAAAAAAGGCTTTCTTTCTTTCTTTCT